GTCAAAATGCTGAGCCATCTAGCCATCTATCACTGGGTAATAATCCATTCCCTCCAGGATCTCAAATCTAATGAGGGAGATGACATGTAAATAACTATGCACATATAAGGTACATTCACAGTAGCAGGAAGGTAACTTTGGAGAAGTCACAAATGGCTTGTACACTCACAGAGGTATGTTGAATAGAATGGAATAAAGGAGTTTGTAACCCTATAGAATTTTCTCACCTTCTTTCTTTTTTTTTTAATTTATTTTTAGTTTTCTGCATTCACTTCCACAAGATTTTGAGTTCCAAATTTTCTCTTCATCTCTCCCCTCACCCTAAGAGTATGCATTCTGATTACACCTTCCCCCAATCTGCCCCCCTTTCTATCACTCCCTGTCCCCTTATCCCCTTCCCCTTCTATTTTCCTGAAGGGCAAGATAGATTTCTGTACCCCATTGCTGGTATATCTTATTTCCCAGTTGTATGTGAAAACAATTTTTAACATTTGTTTTTAAAACTCTGAGTTCCAGTTTCTCCCCCTTCCTCCCTCCCCACTCACCCTTATTGAGAAGGCAAGCAATTTGATATAGGTTATACATGTGTAATCATGCAAGACACTTCCATAATAGTCATGTTGTGAAAGACTAACTATGTTTCCCTCCATCCTATCCCGTCCCGCCCCACCGTTTATTCTGTTCTCTCCTTTGACCCTGTCTCTCCTCAAAAATGTTTGCTTCTGATTACCCCCTCCCCTAATCTGCCCTCCCTTCTATCATTCCCCCTTTTCTTATTCCCTTCCCCCCTACTTTCCTGTAGGGTAAGATAGATTTCCATACCCAATTGAGTATGTATATTATTCCCTCCTTAAGCCAAATCCAGTGAGAGTAAGGTTCACTCATTCTCTTTCATCTCCCCCCTCTTCCCTTTCACTGTACAAACTTTTTCTTGCCTCTTTTATGTGAGATAATTTACCCCATTCTACCTCTCCCTTTCTCCTTCTCCCAGTACATTCCTCTCTCACCCCTTAATTTTGTTTTTTTAAATATCGTCACTTCATCTTCAACTCACCCTGTGCCCTCTGTCTATATATATATATGTATGTATATGTACATGTATGTGTGTGTGTATATATATATATATGTATATGTGTATATACACACACACATATATACCCTCCAACTATCCTAATACTGAGAATGGTCTCATTAGTTACAAATATCATCTTTCCATGTAGGAATGTAAACAGTTCAACTTTAATAAGTTCTTTATGATTTCTCTTTCCTGTTTACTTTTTCATGCTTCTCTTGAGTCTTGTATTTGAAAGTCAGATTTTCTGTTTAGCTCTGGTCTTTTCATCAGGAATGCTTGAAAGTCCTTTATTTCATTGAATGTCCATTTTTTTCTCTTGAAGGATTACACTCAATTTTGCTGGGTAGGTGATTCTTGGTTTTAATCCTAGCTCCTTTGACCTCCAGAATATCATATTTCAAGCCCTGTGATCCCTTGATGTAGAAGGGATCTACTACTGCTAAATCTTGTGTTATCCTGATTGTGTTTCCACAATACTTGAATTGTTTCTTTCTGTCTGCTTGCAATATTTTCTCCTTGACCTGGGAACTCTGGAATTTGGTTACAATATTCCTAGGAGTTTTCCTTTGGGAATCTCTTTTTTTGGGGGGGGCAATTGGGGTTAAGTGGCTTGCCCAGGGTCACACAGCTAGTGTTAAGTATTTGATCTGAGGCTGGATTTGAACTCAGGTCTTCCTGACTTCAGGACTGGTGCTCTATCCACTGCATCACCTGGCTGCCCCCCTAGGATCTCTTTCAGGAGGTGATTGGTAGATTCTTTCTATTTCTATTTTACTCTCTGGTTCTAGAATATCAGGGTAGTTTTCCTTGATAATTTCTTGAAAGATGATGTCTAGGCTCTTTTTTTGATCATGGCTTTCAGGTAGTCCAATAATTTTTAAATGATCTCTCCTGGATCTGTTTTCCGGGTCAGTTGTTTTTCCAATGAGATATTTCACATTTTCTTCTATTTTTTTCATTGTTTTGGTTTTATTTTATTGTTTCTTGATTTCTTATAAAATCATTAGCTTCCATTTGCTCCATTCTAATTTTTAAGGAATTATTTTCTTCAGTGAGCTTTTGGACTTCCTTTTCCATTTGGCCATTTCTGCTTTTTAAGACATTCTTCTTCTCATTGGTGTTTTGGACCTCTTTTGCCATTTGGGTTAGGCTATTTTTTAAGGTGTATTTTCTTCAGTATTTTTTTGGGTCTCCTTTGCAAGCTGTTGACTTATTTTTCATAATTTTCTTGCATCACTCTCATTTCTCTTCCCAATTTTTCCTCTACTTCTTTTAGAAGATTTTCAAAATCCTTTTTGAGCTCTTCCATAGCCTGAGACCAATTCATATTTTTCTTGGAGGCTTTTGATGTAGGAGCTTTGACTTTGTTGTCTTCTTCTGAGTGTATGTTTTGATCTTCCTTGTCTCCAAAGTAAGATTCTATGGTCTGAGTATTTTTCCACTATTTGCTCATATTCCCAGCCAATTACTTGACTTTTAAACTCTTTGTTAAGGTAGGGGTCTGCTTCCAGTGTGGAGGGTGTACTGTCTCAAGCTTCAGGGGTTTTGTGCAGCTGTCTTCAGGGATATTTCTAGGGACCTGTGAATTTTCAGTTCTTCCAGGGTGGTTCCATCAAGGGCGAGGTGTTTAGGCCTTTCCTGGCCTGTGCTCTCATCTGTGAGTGACCACAAGCATTGTTTTCTGCCTTGGAACTGTGAGGAGGATTCCCTCTCCACTGCCTCCTCATGTTCAGCCACACCAGTGCTCCTCCTAGCCCCAGGACTGCCACTCAGGACTATGACCCAGATGCAAGCATGGGCAAAGAGATTCCTGCCTCAGTGCCAGCAAAGAGATCCCTGCAATCCCCCTCTAATCAGCTGCTTGATGCCTCCGCCATCTGTGGGCCAAGAGCAGCGCCACTGCCACTGCCCCAGGGCTGCACCAAGGCTGGGGCCGGGACCACCGCTCCTCTCTCATCCAGGTCGGACAGACCTTTCCTACTGACCTTCTGAGTTTTCTTTGGTGTTTGTGGGTTGAGAAGTCTGGAAACCACCACAGCTGCCCGTGATTCAGTGCCCTGAGGTCTGCTCCAGGTTTGCTGCCTGTGCAGCCCATGCTGAACTGCGCTCTTCTCCCAGCCTGGTGCAACAGACTTTCCCATCAACCATCCAAGTTGTCTTGGGCTGGAAATTTGTTTCATTCTGTCTTTTTGTGGGTTCTGCTGCTCTAGAATTTGTTTAGAGTCGTTTTTACAGGTATTCAGAGGGGTTTGTGGGAGAGCTCAGCGAGTCCCTGTTTTTATTCCACTTTCTTTCTTTTATTTCCTTTCCTGGTAGGATCTCTTGCCTTCAGTTCCCTTCTTCACTCTTATCTTCCTACCCCTCCTTGTATTTCTCCTCCTTTCCCCTATTTATGTAATTTAGTTGATCATTCAACAGAATAGTTATTAAGCACCTGCTCTCTTCCATAGTCCTGTTCTAGGATCTGGGAGAAATAGAAAGGCGAGATAAGACATGCTCCCTTTCCTTATAGAGCACGTAGGATGAGGTACACACATAGGAACTGTTAATGTATCATGTTTTATTTTAAGTGCAAAGTGCTATGGGAGGTCCAAGGGGATTTTTTTTTTTAACCTCTCAAAATCATTACCTTCAAAGGGGAATGAAAGAGGAATAACATGGTATGTGGTGGGTAAGGAGGGTACAGAAAATATAGTAGTGCAGTTTGCTTGGATTATAGAATAGGTAGAGGGGAGTAATATGTAATAAGGCTAGAAGGTTTAGGTGTCACCAGATTATGTGGTGCCCTCAAATGTCAGGCAAAAGATTTTGAAATTTACTCAATAGGTCATTGGGAGCCACTGAAGATTATTGAGCAGAAGAATGACCTCACCAGATCTGTGCATACAGATGATTATATTGGCAGTAGTATGAAGGATGTATTGGAGAAGAGAAAGAGTAGAGGTGGGAAGACTTGTTAGAAGGGTATTGTAGAAGTGTAGCCAGATGATAATAGAATAGAACAGCAGCCCTCAAACTTTTGATCCCTTTATACTCTTAAAGATTATTGAGTCCCCCCTCCCAAGAATCTTTGTTTATATGGCTAAATATATTAATTAATAATTACCATATTAGAAATTAAAATGTTTTAGTGTTATTATGAAAATAATTTCGACCTTACAGAACTCCCCCCCCAAAAAAAAGATCTCCAAAGACCTTCAGGGGTCCCCAGATCACACTTTGAGAACCACTGCAACAGAGAATATCTCTACCTGGTAGAACCTCCTCTTCTTTCCTCTCTTCTCTTTAGGGGAAGGTAGGGACAAGGGTGGAGTGGGGCATGGGGAGTAACATGTCCTCTGGACCTTCTTAGCAACTGTGTTCTTTTTTTAAAATTCAATTTTATTTTATTTTCAGTTTCTAATTATTACTCTCTGCCTTCCCCCTCCTGACCCCTTTAGAAGGCAAAAAACTAAAACTCATTACAAATATGTATAGTTATGCAAAACAAATTCCTGCATTAGCCACATCCAAAAAAAGAAAGAAAAAGAAAAAAGGAAAAAAAAATATGCTTCAATCTGCACTCAGTCCATCAGCTCTCTATCTGGAATGGATAGCACATTTCATCAATGAGTTCTTGGTAACTGTGGTTGGTCATTGTGTGGATCAGAGTTATTGCTTAAGTCTTTCAAACTTGATTATCCTTACAATCTTCAGCAGTCATTTTTTAAGTGACCAGCCTTGATGCTTTCCACCAATCAAAGGGTATAGGCAGAGGGAGAAATAGGATTAGAAGAGATCTTTGGATGGGGTCGGATTTTCATGTACTCATATTGTTATCACAACGTGACATGGGTTGGTACAACATCACAGGGGGAATCCTTGTATTGGAGCACTGAATTTGCCTTGTATTGGAATTCCTGACTCTTGTTGTGTCTCACTGCAGATTGGACAAATGGCAGATGACACAGTAGCTGAGATGGACAAGCACTTGGCGTTGAAGACCAAGGAACTCTTAGGATAAGAAGGAAACTCCCAATGAAGCCAGCTTTGGGAAGTCTGCAGAAGCAACAATGCCCTAGGCTGTACTTTAGGGCCAAAGTTTTGGAGCATTTCATTTGACTGGATTCTTCTCTCCTATGCTTTTTGTGTTACTTTTAGGAGTATCCTTTTTGGATGTCTTATTCAAGCCAAAAGATTGTCTACTGTCTCCAACCACAACATCAACTTGTATAGGACTGGACCATTATAACTCTTAGGTGACCTTAATGTGGAGTGGTTTTATGCTGGGCATGCCTTCACTAAATAAATACTTGTAGTTGTGAAATATACCCCTGCCAGGCTCAGTTTCCTTCTTTTGATGTTCCTAAGGGAGCAGGAGTATTAGTAAATTATGACCCTGTGTGATTTCTCTGTCTGTGACCTTCTATCTCTCTGTCTTCTGTTAAGCACTACCTCGAGGAATCTTTAGTGTGCTTATTTTCTTCCTTTGGAATGAGAAAGTGGGTGCATATTGTGCTACTAATTGTTCCTGAGGTTGAACTCCATGTTCACTGTTGGAGAACTTTACCTGTAATTCATATTCTGAAGCTAGGCCCCAATTTTAAATGCCTCTGTATTTTGCCTGTAGTGAGTTTTCATTGATGAAGTAGGTCTAAATAAAATGAAATGAATAAAAACAACCAACAAGGATGAAATCTTTCATTTCCATCTCTTATCTCCCACTAGTATTTGACTTGAGCTACCCTTGTTCCAGTAACTTAAAAAACAAAAATAAAAACAATTGGAGTGGCCCACCTTCATGGAAATAGAAGATTTTAGAACTGGAAGAGACCTTAGAAATAATATACACAGAAATATTTCAAGACAGGTTAAGTGACTTGCCCAAGTTACTGAATCTTGTCAAAGATTGCCCAAGTTACTGAATTTTGTCAAAGGATAAAATTGCCTGGGAAAAAAACAAGAGGTTCAAGCTTGGAACAGAAATGTTGAATCTCAAAATCACCAAATGCTAGAACTGAAAGGGTCCTTAGAACATACAATGTTGGAGCTGAAAAGGAACAGAACACACAGTGTTAGAGCAAAGAGCATAGAGTGTAGAATTGTAAGGTAGGTTAGAATGCATTGAATTTTAGAACAGAACAAAATCTTAGAGCCACAAGGCACCGTAGAGGTTATCAAATCCAACTCCTTCAGTTTTAAAGAGTTGGGAACCAAGGCTTAGAGAGATTGGGTGACTTACCTAGGGTCACACAACTGAGATGTGTCTGAGGCAGGGTTCAAATCCAAGTCACATCATGCCATCTTTCCATGGAGCCCCACTAATCTTGGAGCAAGTATAATTTCTTCCCTCAGTTCACGTGATGGATGCTTTCTATTCAGTGTCACAACTATAAGACATGTTCTTCCCAAAAGGATCTGATGTTTTAGTGGCTTGCAAGCTCATATGAATCTGCTATTGTGATATGGTAGCCAAAAAAGCTAATGAAATCTTACAGTACATTAAGAAAAGCACAGTGTGCAAAGTGAGGAAGGTAACAGTGTCACTGTACTTTGCTTTGATCAGACCACGTCTGCACTAATATGCCCAGTTCTGGGTACCACATTTCAGGAAGGAGAGTCTGGAGGAAGCTGATTGGGGATTATGAAAGGCTTTGAGATGTTATATGCACAGCTTTGAAGGAAGGGGGAATTTTTGTTGTAGAGAAGGTTGAGGTGGGAATGGAGTAGTATAGTTGTCTTCAAGTGAGGCAACATCATGTGGAAGACAGATTAGATTTGTTCTGCTTGGTAGGAGTGAGGGATAGAAGTGACAGAGGGGCAAACTTAGGCTTGATGCAAGAAGGACCTTTGGGACAATTAGAGCCATTTGGAGTCAAATGGGCTGCCGTGGGTGGGAGTGGGTCTCATCTGAGATCTTCAAGCAAATGCTCGATGTTACAGAGGGGGTTCCTGGTGGGGAATAGATTGGATTCTTTGACCTCTGAGGTCCCTTCCAACCTTGAGATTCTGCAATAACTGCCTCTAATTAGTGGCTGAAACAGCCCTCCAACAGCAAATATACTTCCCCCAAATGCAGGATTTTTTTTTTTAATAAACAGAGGAAATGATAAATTATGTAGTAACTCCACTCCAAAGGCATTTGGTTCTTAACAGCCGAGTCCTCTGTAGTCTTTAAATAAACAAAAACTTATTTTGTGAACAGACAGGAAAAAAATGAAAGATTTTCTATACTCGGGTTCCACATGTCAACAATTTCTCCCCTGTGTGTATTTTGGCCAGAGCTCTATATCATGATAAATGAATAAAGGAAAACCTCGAGCCCAAGGCAGTCCAGACAGCTCAGCAAATGGCTTTCAGCTGATTACTCTATTTTAGTTGACATTTATCAAATAGTTACTTGGTCCTTCGCTGTGTCTGTGCTGCAGGGGTAGCAGGGACTGGAAGGCTTTACCTGCTCAAATATGCTGAGAAATTCTGGATCAAGTGATTTTGTGCTTTTATTAAAAGGGGAAAAGCTAGGTCGGAATGGAGAAGCAGTGTACTATAATGTAAAGAACACTGAATGGGGTGGGGGGGGGAGGTGTCAAAATATCCAGATCCAAGCCCCAACTTCCTCTAATTAGGAGCATATCCTTGAGTAAATCACTTCCCCCTCTGGACTTCAATTTCTTATCTGTAAAATGAGGGTGTTTCGTTGTATATATGCTAGTAATCTCTCTTCTAAGTTCTCTTACTTCCTATGTTTTTTGTTCTGTCTTCTAAGATCCTTTCCAGCTATACTATTCTTCATTCTAAGGCCTTTCCTTGCTCTTATGTTCTTTGTTCTTTGTTCTAATATCCTGTGTTCTAAGATCTTTTCCAGCTCTAACATTCTAACAGTGTAAGACAAACTCTTAGAGTTTAAATACTGGGTGTATGGAATACAGAGAGGTTATTAAAACAAAACAGATGCAGTAACCAGGGGTAGGGGCACGGGGAGGAGGGCAGGGGGCCAAAATAGACAGTTTGACCTGAGTGGGCTTTAGGCATTGAGTGGGTGAGCTGAAAAGAGATCACTGAAAAAAAAAATACAATAACCAATCAGGAAGGTTCTGCTGAGGTACAGGAATCTCTGAGTACATGGATTGAAGAGGAGTAGTCCCCTAGGCCTAGGTGGTGTCCCACAGCAGTGATAGTGTAGGTTGTTGTTAAGGGAATCAAATCTATAAACCTATCAAGATGAAGATTTGGTGAAGGCTGCGAAGATGAAATAAGAGAAATAAATGAGCAGAAGTTGTTGATCCGGCCAAAAGAATTATGGGGAAGAAAGGGCTTTGACAAGTATATGAAGGAAGAGAAATTCTAAGAAGTAACTTTTTATTAAGCAAGAGGACAAAATGAACAGTCGTTCATTTTTTGCCATCTGTCATTAAGAGAATCAATAATGAAAAGGTAGAAGGACCAAAAATAAGGTAGACCTTAGCCTTGAATTCGAAGACTGGTGAGAGGCAGTGTTGTAGTGGAAAGTTCATTGGATTTGGAGTCAAGATTTGGACATCAAATCTTGGTTCTGACACTCACTAGTACTGTGACCTTGAACAAGTCAGTTAACCGTTCTGTGCCTCAGTTTTCTCATATGTAAAATGAGGGCATTGACCTCATGACAGAAAGTGATAGACGAGGTGCAGAATAAGGTACACATTTTTGAACATGGCCAACATGTACATTTGTTTTGCTTGACTATAGTTTTGTTTTTGTTTTTTGTTATAAAAGAAGGTTAAATTTGGGGGGGGGTGGGCTGAGAAGAATTGCGTGAACAGAGAGTGGCTAGTGATGGTAAAACAGAAACAAAAGAATGGTAAGAGGATCAGTGAAGCATTTAATATAATGCACAGAAGAAAATAGAATGAGTTCAGAAGGAACATAGATGAGCAAGAACTTTAGAACTAACATTGAATTTATTATTTGCTGAAAATTCCAACCTATACATGATAGAGATTCACTTTTTTGTGTACATTTCTCTTTTTTTCATTCTTTGTATTTGGATCTATATTTGTTGATATTTATTGACTTTAGAATAACTGTGTGTATACATATTTAGTATGTACATGTGTATACACACACGTATATATCTATATTTTTAATGAGTGGTTGGACCAGCAGATCTTTGAGGCTCCTTCCAACTCTAAATTCTTTGATTCGGTTAGCTTTGAGATTTTGGTTGATGACTGTCATTCAAGATGGCAGTAGAGTGAATTGATAATAGCTCATTTAACAGTGCTGTCCTCACAATTCTGTGTGAAGTAAGTAGTGCAGATATTGTTGTTTCCATTTTTGCAAATTAGGAAATCAAGGTCCAGATAAGGGAAATGATGACTATAGTCATATTATTTTATCCTCAGAAGAACTTTCCTGATTGGGTTTTTTGGAGGGCTATTATTGTTTTAATTGGTTATAATACTTAATAATATGTAATATGTTTTTATAACTATAGTAAAACAATAGCTACTGTAATAATGATAATTATTGTTTTGTTTTATTTTTCCTATCACCTCTTTTCTGTTCATTGACTCAGTGCCCTGGTTATTGTATCTATTTAACTTCGCTGCTCTGCATTCCATACACCTCCATACCCAAACCCAGGTCTTCTGATTCCAAGTCTATTGTTCTTTCTACTATACCCTGATGCCTTTCACTGTGCCTTTTTCTAGACTCTGTTTATTGCTAATCCAAGCTGCAATGTAAACTTGTTTGTTATGACCCAAGTCAGTTACTGGTTCATAGAGCTGGTTGCTGACATGATTGTTATCTCTTTCCAGGTTGACATCTTTTACCTGGTACCAATATTAGCTCTAATATTCTGTGCTTTGTTTTAATATTTTCTATGTTAAGCTCCTTCTATATGCTTACATTTATCCTCTAATACTTTATTTCTTTCATCACTAACATTTCATGTTTTGGTGAGTCTCATAGATAATACATGTGTCTCAGTTATTATAAGTGGAAACTCTCCTCCTATAAACAATGTTTGGATTTGATTTCCTATGGCATCCAGGTACTGAAAGGTGCTACTGGGACCTAAGCATATCAGCACCATGGCCAGCAGTCAGGCTAGTGCTGACAGCATCATATTAATAAGGAAAAAGTCCTGGGTTCAATCACTTCAATTGGTGAATTAATGTTGTTGCTCTGCATGCTACAGAAGGTAGTGGAGTGAGAGATAACAAAAACAACATTATGGTGCCAAAGGAGGCCTGGATCTTCAAACTCTTTTACCAACAACCATGTGACCTTGGATGAGTCATTGAACTTTTCTGGGCCTCAGTTTCCTCACCTGTAAAATGAGAGGCTTAGATCTAATAATATTGCAGGACTTTTACAGTTCTAATGTGCTGTTCTAAAGTACTTTTCAGCTCATTCTATGTTCTAACATTCCTTCCAGATAGAACTTTCTCAGGTCTAAGATTCTAGGTTCCTAGATTAATATTCTAAGTTTGTAGGGATTTTAGAGGACAACTAGCCGAAGCCTCTCATTTTACATATGAGGAAATTGAAGATCTGAGAGGTTAAATGACTTGCCCGAGTTCACACAGCAAGTTACTGGCAGGATGAGAATTCGAATCTAGGTCCTTTGCCTTCAAGTCCACTGATCTTTCCATGGCTATTTCTCTGTTCTAACCTTCCTTCCAATTCTAACCTT